GACAATCTTTGTCTCATCCTAAAAAGGTATTCTTGCGAGGCTCTGCTTCTATTACGTTGTAACCTTCCATGTGAATGTTGACATGCGGTATTTCCGCATCTTTAACAATTCCGGACGTCTTTCGTGTGGAACCTTGTGAAATATCTTAAGGGTAGACACTAAACAATACGGGTTCTGTAGCACAGTGGTCTACGTCCTTGGTTCACATCCGGACACTTCGGGTTCCACTCCCGAATGGAAGGGACTTGGGGAGCGAGCGACGGTCAGACACGTTTTCTATCACATGATAGACAAAATCACATTAAAATAGGCACCAGGGACTTACACAACTGTTGTGGGGTGCATCCAGGAGGTCAGCAGCTGGCCTCGAGAGGCTCCGATAAGTCGGAGAAGCATATCCTCTCTCTTAACAAATGGCCAGCCAGTTAAGACGTTATAATAGAGCCACTTCTGACGGAGGTCAAACACACTATTGTGAGATCCTAAGATTTCTTCAAGATTACTCCACAGGCGATGGAGAAGTTCTTTAATTCTCGTCGATGGTGTCCTGTAGGTACACCTGTCACTCACCTGGGGGTCGAGTGTGTTCACCTATCACTCACCTGGGGGTCGAGTGTGTACACCTATCACTCACCTGGGGGTCGAGTAGATAGACCGAACATCTCTCACACTTGAGGAGCTCTCTGGCCTCCGTCATGATCTTGGTAACAAGGCGGTCGAGCGAGGTCTGCTCCTCGAAGATGCCTCGAGCCAACTGGAGGAGGAGCTGAGGAAGGGAAGACGAAGAACCTTATATCAGGGAAGAGAAGGTTGAGGAGTACAGTGAGGGTAAAATACAGGACAGGGAGTGCGGGGGGAGAGTTGGCCCCCGAGCACGAATACCATGTGTCATGTGTCGACATGACACATGGTTTTCTCTACATGACACATCGTTCAAAACACAAAGTGCTAACGAGAAGCGTACGAACCCAAACCTAACCTCCCCTACAGATGTATATAGAAAACGTCGACATTTGTCAGCCGCTATTTTCCTCATAGCATTATGAGGATCACAACGTATAGAATGAGACGTGTTAGTTGAGATGACGGGCTCTAGGATGATGACCACTACAGCCCCAAGTGCAACCATGAATAAAACCATATCCCGTCCTCGCCTCTAACTAATCGGTCGCCTTTTGTACGTTATGGCACTTAACGTTACAAATGCAACCTATTAAAAAATAGTGACAGTAGAATCGACAGGTTAGGGAGGTTGCTTTGGGTTTGTACGTCTCTGGTTAGGTTACATTTTTTAAGGAGTGACAAAGCAAGACAATGGGTTGAGTTGTGAGCACAATTACCTATAACTCTTGGAGGAGTGAGCGGAAAATAATTCTAAGAGACCTATAATGAAAGATTTATAAATAAAAAGCACAAATAATTATCAGATAACTCCAACGCGACTTTAAACCCAACAGATTAGTTGATACAAACTTAATAATTGGCCGAATATTACTTCAAATGGCCTCTAATTGATGATTAGACTTCACCAATCTCTGATAAGATGCACATGTGACATTCGCAGTAAAAAAAAAAAGAAAGTCAACCAATCCCTAGAGTCAAACGAATCCTTTGACTTAAAGGGAAGTAGGTAATAACTGAACTGTATAAATCTCTGGTGCTGCCCCAATTGGCCTATTCTCTCCAAGCGTGGAGACATTATTGTCAGAAAGACAAGAGCTGCTTTGGAGAAAGTTCCACACTGAGAATAACAAAGATAGCTAAGTCGGTTCTCATCCCAGAAAGGATTGAGGGCCACAGGACTACCAGTACAGCAAACCAGACATGACAAGGCTGATCTCATCGAAACTTTCAAAACACGGAACAATTTGGAGGATATTGAGCCAGTCTACTTCTTCAAAATGTCAGATATAATACACACACACACTCACACTCACACACACACTCACATCCACACACGCACACACACACACACTCACATCCACACACACACACACTCACACTCACACACACACTCACACACACACTCACATCCACACACGCACCAAAAAAACCGGTTTCGACCTCAACAAGATGCAGAGTAGGACAGAAAGGAGGAGATGCCTTTTCACCCGGAGGGTTACAAACATGTGGAACCACCTATCCGGCCCATTGGGGGGGACCTCTGGCAAGCCGCCGGCTTCTTGTCGTCGTCGAGGCCACTAGAGAGAGATAGTGGCCTTCAGGTAAATTCAGTTCCCCCCAAAACGACTTCCCATTTTCTGAAATGACCCTTATTGAGCCACGACGTAAATAAAAACACGTAAAAATGCAAACTTTACCTGGTTCCTCTTGTATTCCCGTACCGACATGTCGAACAACTGCGCGTTTTGGATACCAATACCGCAGAAGGTCAGGTACCGCCGGAACACCTGTAGGGACGGGGGAAGAACAGGTGTTGAGAGTGGGGATGAGGAGGAAGAAGGAGGAGGAGATGAAGATGGAGCAAGATGGGGGAGGAGAGGGACGAACACAATAGCCAAGTGTGTGCTGCCTCGAGTCCGGTATAACAGGGTGAGTCTCCTCATTATCTAACGTTGTCAACAATTACCAGCGGACAGGAACAAGGGAAGAGTGACAGATTATATTGACTTGACAGAGAGAGAGAGGGAGAGAGGGAGAGAGGGAGAGAGGGAGAGAGGGAGGGGGGGGGAGAGGGAGAGAGGGAGAGAGAGGGAGAGAGAGGGAGAGAGAGGGAGAGAGAGAGAGAGAGAGAGAGAGAGAGAGAGAGAGAGAGAGAGAGAGAGAGAGAGAGAGAGAGAGAGAGAGAGAGAGAGAAATATGGAGGTAAGAGGTCTAACTAATAGTCAGGCTAGTATGTGTGTCTGTCTGTCTGTCTCCCTGTCTCTCTTTCTCTCTCTCTCTCTCTCCTTCCCTCACCAAAAACATACTAGTAATATTAAGGGATAAACTCATAAGCTGAGAGGAACCACTATTCACGTATGAATAGATAATTAAATCATTTTAAGAGAGATTGTATAAGATGCAAACCACCCATCAAATATTATTTCAAATATAGATTTGCTATATATTTTCAATTTAATATTTTACAATGATGCACACTAACACCACAATAATACGATGCATCTATAAGACAATACCTGTATTTAGGTCATGCAATTGTATCGAACACGCGTTCCTGGTCTACCCAGGCACTACCTACTGAGCCGTAATGAGCTCAGGCAACAAATTCATCACGGTTCATCACCTTTATACTGACCAAACTACCCTTCCCCCCCCCTCCCTCGTCCCTGTGACCCTTGACCTCAATACTGACCTCCACATCCTGCTTGGTGAACTCGTTAGTGCCGTTCTTCTTGTTAATGATCTCTGCTACTCCAATCACCTCACCCTCGTAGTTGCACACAGGCATGCACAGGACGCTCATCGTTCTGTAGCCGGTCCGGCGGTCGATGCTGGCGTCGAACCTGGGGTCCTGGCACGGCGAGAGAGGGTCGAGTGTCACTAGTTAAGAGTAATTGGGAGGGAGTTTGGAGAGGGTTGGCAAATATGGAACCACCCCCTAACAGCCGCACGTGCGTGCGTGTGTGTGTGTGTGTGTGTGTGTGTGTGTGTGTGTGTGTGTGTGTGTGTGTGTGTGTGTGTGTGTGTGTGTGTGTGTGTGTGTGTGTGTGTGTACTCACCTAGCTATACTCACCTAGTTGTGTTTGCGGGGAGTTGAGCTTTGGCTCTTTGGTCTGTGAATGTTGGCTCTTTGGACCTTTGTGTGTGTGTGTGTGTGTGCGTGCGCGTGTGTGTGCGTGTGCGTGCGTGTGTGTGTGCGCACAACAAAGCCTTCCTAGGGACCTGTGTAACCTGAAGACTCTTTACCCGTAATTAGTTTGGTAATAGCCCGTGATTGAGGTAATGAATTGTGAAGCCTCTGTAGTGAGCTTCAGAAGCCTTGACCTGTCCCCCCACTCCCGTCACCATCTCTCTCTCTCACTATCCACCGGAGAACCCACCATCACCCTGCGGGTGTTTGCAGTAGCCACCGTTACTCTTGTTATCTCACCACCATCATTATCCTCACCATCTTCATTAACACCACCAACACCATCATTCAAACACCACCTCTCACCATCACCACCATATCTGTCTCTCTTAAAAACCTCTCTCTCTACCTACCTACCCCCCTCTCTTCTCCCCTATTTTCATCCCCTTTTTTACATTTTCCTCCCCTATTTTACAAATTATGTGCCCTCTTCCCCTCCCACCACTCCCCCTTTTTCCCCCGTCCCGCTCACACAGGTGTGAGAGAGGGGAGAACATGGGGAGAAGGATAGTGGTTGAGACTAACTCTTAATTCACCACTTAATTACATTCATCATATCTGTTTCCGATTGATCACCAGGGAGGTGTTGGCAGCCCTGCACTGGTGCAGGAGGTGTTGGCAGCCCTGCACTGGTGCAGGAGGTGTTGGCAGCCCTGCAGAGAGAGCTTTGGTAGACTAGGAGCCAGATTCACGAAAGCACTTACGAACGTGTACATCTTTCCTCAATCTTTGACGGCCTTGGTTACATTTATTAAACAGTTTACAAGCATGAAAACTTGCCATTCAACTGTTGTTATTGTTATAAACAGCCTCCTGGTGCTTCGGAGCTCGTTAACTGTTTAATAATTGTAAACAAAGCCGCCAAAGATTGAGAAAAGATGTACAGGTTCGTAAGTGCTTTCGTGAATCTGGCCCTAGGTTAGCTGTCCATCTGTGCTCACTTATGTGCACTAAAGGGGCGGGCTTCAGCTCCTGGCCCCGCGTCTTTCGGTTGTTTATTGCAATGACTCCCAAAAGTCTTGCGTCTTATCTTACTTATAAGATTTTGTTCGGAGTTAGCCCTCACCTGCCTGCACCTGCGAGTAGGGTCTTCACCTGAGACAATGTTAGTCAGTCTACGGCATCGCCACACTTTAAAGTAACCTAACTTAACCCGACCTACCCTAACTTATCCCCCTAACCTATCCTAACCCAAGCTACTCCTAACTTAACTTACCCTAACTTATCGTAACCCAAGCTACTCCTAACTTACCCTAACCTATCCTAACTCAATTTACCCCTAATCTTTCCTACCGAAAATAAGAAGTGACATTTTTTGTTTGTTTACATTCAGTGTGTATGCAGTATGTGACGTCACTGTGACGCCGCCGTCACGTGATCATTATACTGGGGGGCCATCGTGGCTTTGGACGCTGCTGGCACTCCCTAGCTGGCCACAGCTGGCCACAGCTGGCCACAGCAGCTCTCACTACACCCACCCCTCCCTCACTGAACCTGTGCGTTCTTACACCTCTGTGGCTCGTACACCTCTGTGGCTCGTACACCTCTGTGGCTCGTCTCTCTAGTTCCCACAGAAACACACTCGGCCTACACCCATGTGTTGCGTACACCCTTCGCATATATGTTGCAATTGCCTCCTAGACAAATAACAATCCTTATATTCGAACTAATAACAGTTCCACAGGACCCCAAGCCACATATAGAAGGCATACATATATATCCTTGAAGGTAAAGTACCACAGGATCCTCGCCCCCCCCCCCCGAGAGGTGTGTCAGAATAGGTACATGGTACCTTACCTGATAGGCGTCTTTGATGTTGATAACTTCCTTGGTGTTGGCTACGTGACCCACGATCCCCACGCCCCACGGCAGGAGGATCTCCTTGTCGGCCGCGTTGGACAGCGCCTCCTCCAACACTGAAACACGGGAGGTAGTGGTAGTGATAGTAGTAGTAGTAGTAGTAGTAGTAGTAGTAGTAGTAGTAGTAGTAGTAGTAGTAGTAGTAGTAGTAGTAGTAGTAGTAGTAGTAGTAGTAGTCGTAGTAGTAGTAATAGCTACTATTAGTGAAGAATACTTATGTAAATACGAGTGGCTTGTGGCTCACCAGCCCGTCTCCGGGACTCACTATAAGCTTCCGAACACCCCACAGCTGTTACATCGTCACCCACACCTGTTACCCCGTCACCCACACCTGTTACCCCGTCACCCACACCTGCCACCAGAAGACGAGAGAAGACGACCGCGTTACAATCGACTTGATAATCGTCCACAAGGACGGACCGAAACGTCTTTGTCGTCGTCGACTCCTCATAGTCTGGTGTGTGTGGTTTAGTTCCTCATATATTCACCCGCTGTATTGTGACTCATCGTCTGCACCTTCCTCATCCATGGCCCGAAGCCGAGGTCCCCGACCTCCCCCGTCAAGTACCCGACCTCCCCGTCAAAGTCCCTAACCTCCCCGTCAAAGTACCCGACCTCCCCGTCAAAGTACCCGACCTCCCCGTCAAAGTCCCCGACCTCCCCGTCAAGTACCCGACCTCCCCGTCAAGTACCCGACCTCCCCGTCAAGTACCCGACCTCCCCGTCAAAGTCCCCGACCTCCCCGTCAAAGTCCCTAACCTCCCCGTCAAAGTACCCGACCTCCCCGTCAAGTCCCCGACCTTCCTGTCAAAGTCCCCGACCTCCCCGTCAAAGTCCCCGACCTCCCCGTCAAGTACCCGACCTCCCCGTCAAGTACCCGACCTCCCCGTCAAGTACCCGACCTCCCCGTCAAAGTCCCCGACCTCCCCGTCAAAGTCCCTAACCTCCCCGTCAAAGTACCCGACCTCCCCGTCAAAGTACCCGACCTCCCCGTCAAAGTCCCCGACCTCCCCGTCAAGTCCCCGACCTTCCTGTCAAAGTCCCTAACCTCCTCGTCAAAGTACCCGACCTCCCCGTCAAGTCCCCGACCTTCCTGTCAAAGTCCCCGACCTCCCCGTCAAGTACCCGACCTCTCCGTCAAGTCACCTGTGTCGACCGTCACGTCGAAGAGCTTGGCGACCAGACAACGGTTGTGCCTGGGGCCCTGGGCGAGGAAGAGAGACGCCCTATCGGCATGAGTAAGGTGCCCCACGTTGACCAGGATCTTGTGGCAGAGGGTGTCGATGTCGAGCTCGGTGCTGATGTCCCGGATGAGCTCCATAAACAGTTCGGGCTCTGACAGCCGCTCCACCTGGTCGAGGGAGAGAGGTGAGGGTTTGGTGAGAGGGCTGGGTTGAGTTTATTTACAAAACTGAAATTCTAAAAATGGCTTTGTCATGCAGGGGGAGATGTATCTTTATATAAATAAGGCTTTTTTTACGTGATCATCTTTTTGGGGGAGCAAGAATTGTTACTCAATTACGACCAGTTGAGCAAAGGATTGATGGGAAAAGATTGTGTCAAAATTCCAGTTCATTAAACGTGAGAAAGAGATAAGACAGCTGAAAAATATTTGGGGGGGGGGGGGGGCATAGGAGCCGAATTTCATTTCTGAAAGAACATTTACGTGAACACACACACACACACACACCTTCTTGGACTTTATACTCTTGGGGGAGAGCCAGGAGCTGATGGAATTCCTCCTGCTGGAGTAGGAGTAATTGGCCACCAGGTGCTGGCTGTCTGTGGGCGTGCCCGAGGTGGGCGTGTCCCTGTTCTCAGAGTCCCACGACTTCGCCAATTGGTCAGTCTGCATCAGACTCCGCCCCCGCAGGTTCCTGAACGCCTATTGGAGGAGAGGAGGAAAACACGGCGATATGTTTATTTATTTGATTTTCCTTTAATCTTAGGTGCTATTATTATTATTATTATTGGAAATATTAATATTGTTTGGTGATATTAAATACTATCATTACTGGAACTCTCAGCGAGGATCCTAGTGATTTGTGGAGTTTGTAGTTAAGGCTTACTTATATGTCTACCGTTTCCAGAACTACTATCTTTGTCTCTACTATTGCTGCAACTACTTCTACTTCTACTACTACTACTACTACTACTACTACTACAGCTGCTGCCACTACGACAATAGGCTGAACCACCACAGTACATCAATAACCACTCCCCCGTGAACAACTTCACTACCATCTACCACAGCAAGAACTCACACCATCGCTGGAACTCTCGAGTCCACCACACTCACGGCCCAAGACGACTGAGTCTGGCACTATACTACCCTCTTACCCTTCCTCCCCTGATTGATGAAGATTAAGCCACCCAAGAGGTGGCACGGGCATGAATAGCCCCCTTCCCTTCCCTTCTCTGTCACCGCCACTAATCTCCTCAATGGTCTCACCATTCTCGCCCCCCCCCCACCCCATCTCTACTCTCCTCAGCCACCACACACACCCCACAGCCACACTACTCACAGCCACACTACTCACAGCCACCACACACCCCCACAGCCACACTACTCACAGCCACCACACACCCCACAGCCACCACACCCCCCACAGCCACCACACACCCCCACAGCCACACTACTCACAGCCACCACACACCCCCACAGCCACACTACTCACAGCCACCACACACCCCCACAGCCACCACACCCCCCCACAGCCACACTACTCACAGCCACCACACCCCCCACAGCCCCACACACCCCCCACAGCCACCACACACACCCACAGCCACCACACACCCCACAGCCACCACACCCCCCACAGCCACCACACACCCCCACAGCCACACTACTCACAGCCACCACACCCCCCACAGCCACCACACCCCCCACAGCCACCACACACCCCCACAGCCACACTACTCACAGCCATGGGTGTTCTCTCCCTGAGCCAGCGCTCGACCACATGAGGGTGACGGTCGAGGTAAGCCTCCACCTGCTCCTCCTGCAGGTCGAAGGTGCCGCCCCGTTCACTGGGGGGCGACATACCGGAGGAGAAGCTGGGGGTAGACGACCTGGTGCTGGGGACATCTTCTGCAGGAGTGCAAGACGGTCAGAGAGAGGGGAAACTATCAGGGGGAAAAGCGTCAAGCCTTTGCGACTATATAGTACTTGGAAAGGGTCAGGATAAGGATTTGGGATGGGACGGGAGGGAAGGAATGGTGCCCAACCATTTGGACGGTCGGGGATTGAACGCCGACGTGCATGAAGCGAGATCGTCGCTCTACCGTCCAGCCCAAGTGGTTGGGAAGGGGGGAGAGGGAGAGAGAGAGAGAGAGAGAGAGAGAGAGAGAGAGAGAGAGAGAGAGAGAGAGAGAGAGAGAGAGAGAGAGAGAGAGAGAGAGAGAGAGAGAGAGAGAGAGAGAGTTCCACATATTTCGTGATAAAGCTACAGTGACACTACATATTAACGTGAACTAAAGTACATGAGCATTCTTTCGTAATATATTTCTCCTTTCTCTCCTTACTGGTTTCAAATAGCTGTACTCTGTTGCATTCTGTCTATAAGCCTCCCTCTATTTCAGTATGTTTCTCAATCTCTCTCTCATCATTATCATCGTCTCAGTAAATCTATCTCAGTATGTCTCTCAATCTCTCGGTATTAATCTCTCTCCCGGTCTCTCTCTCTCTCTCTCTCTCTCTCTCTCTCTCTCTCTCTCTCTCTCTCTCTCTCTCTCTCTTACACACTAAATCGACAATGTAGTTCATTCCTCAGTACTCGAGGAGCAGCAGTCTCTCACGGCTGCCCACATGGCTCCACTCTCTAGTGAGAGACATGATAACCCACATCAATGCAGACACGGATGGCAGTCCTCAATTAGCATACCGAGTCCTTTAGGCTCCACATTTCTCTACAATCACCAGCGATTCTCGCGCCTTGACCAGCTTTAGAACTAAAATTAAACAAGCCGTATGCAAAGCACCTACAAGGTCTATTTAAGAGGCTATAATCGAGAGATTATCTCGATAATTCGATAAATAATCGAAACTTAAAAGTGATTAAAAATCTCAACGTAGTGTTTCTCTGGAATACCATTACTTTAAGATGGCAAGAAGTAAGAGCCAAGACAGCTCGCAGGAACACAAGAACGACCGAACAATGGCACGTCAGCCGACCGAAGCATCAGTCTCATGATTAAAATGATACTGACAGCCATGTGCAGGTTTGTGGCAGAAGAGAGAGATTAAAATATTCTCAAATAACATGATTTTTTTGGTCATCATCAGTTACTGTGTGGACGACGACAATATGGTTTTTAGAAAAAGGTGGTTCTGGTGCTCATCTCTTGGTTGATACCTGGTTGATGGGGTTCTGGGAGTTCTTCTACTCCCCAAGCCCGGCCCGCAGGCCAGGCTTGACTTGTGAGAGTTTGGTCCACCAGGCTGTTGCTTGGAGCGGCCCGCAGGCCAGGCTTGACTTGTGAGAGTTTGGTCCACCAGGCTGTTGCTTGGAGCGGCCCGCAGGCCCACATACCCACCACAGCCCGGTTGGTCCGGCACTCCTTGGAGAAAATAATCTAATTTTCCGTCCACAAAGTGGCATCAGTCACCGGATGAGTGACTGATGCCACCGGATGAGTGACTGATGCCACCGGATGAGTGACTGATGGCACCGGATGAGTGACTGATCTGTGACAACAACACAGATCAGCTGTGTTGTTGCTCTGGACACAGCAGGCACCTCTGATCGGCTCTGGCACTCTGGAGTTCAAGCTTCCAGCACTAGGTATCTCAGGCTCCACTTTACACCTAATAAAGGACTACCTTCAAGAACGGACTCTTTTAAGTGTAGTCCTGAATGGGGCTGAATCTGAGAACCACTTACAACCTCACGGCGCATCTCATATCTTCTTGACACCAGGGGTTGTGAAACCCCTTATCTGAAGCACGAGTTTGCTTCCATCTTGAGTACGCATCGCTGTCCTGGACTGCCTAATGCCTCTCTCAGGCATCAGAATGACAAGGTGGAGACCCGTGATGCTTGTTATAAGGTCAATATTCTCAAAGTTCCTCACCTGGCCCAACTTCGTGGACAACCTGGGGGTTGGTACCCGTAACACAAGGCGTTCAGCCATCAACAGTCTCATGCTAGTAATGCCTTTCTCAAGAACATCACCCAATTAGCGATTATTCATTCTTAAGCCGACTCGCATCTGGAGCATTTCCCTTCAACACGCTAAAATGTGTTATCAGGATAAACGACCACCTGAAGGCTCTGGCACACAGTTGGCTCCTGGCTCATTCTGTTCCTTATATGATAGTTACTGAGCATTAAAGTTACTTTATTCTTAATGGCTATAAATAATTATCACGTCAAATAAATGAGGCTCTAGGTGCAGGCTTCAGATGAGCTGATGTGGGATAACAGCTCTTGCTTGCAACTTCACTAGGAGCGTCAAATAATATTCCCAACAAACCCGTAACTTTAGTGAAAAAAGATATATGAAAAGAGAGAGAGAGAGAGAGAGAGAGAGAGAGAGAGAGAGAGAGAGAGAGAGAGAGAGAGAGAGAGAGAGAGAGAGAGAGAGAGAGAGAGAGAGAGAGAAAAAAAAAGAGAAAATTGATTTATGCAACAAGGACTGTTATTGCATGTTCTGTTTATGCTAATTTTGTTCAAAACACAAATAGTTTTCATTTAAATTCTCACTTAATATCTCTTGAGGTTCAATGCATAAATCCCCTGACATGGGGTCTGTGTTGACTTGAGAGTTTATAATACTATCAATGAGTAGTCGACTTATTACACACAGATTTCACTCAACCGGTCTAATAAACAGTAATTATCATTGTCAGTCATCAGTTATGTAACAGAAGGAAGGAAGGAAGGAATTATCAAGGGAAAGCGACAAGCCATTACGACTATATAGCACTGGGAAGGGGTCAGGATAAGGCTTTGGGATGGGACGGGAGGGAAGGAATGGTGCCCCAACCACTTGGACGGTCGGGGATTGAACGCCAATCTGCATGAAGCGAGACCGTCGCTCAACCGTCTAGCCCAAGTGGAGAGGTGTTGATGGGAGGAATGGGTCAGCATGAATAGGTATTAGGGGGAGGGAGGGAAGGAAGGGAACTATGAGTTGAAAGCGTCGTCGCTGTTGTTGCTGTTTTAGATTTAGCTACTCAGAACGAAATGTCCATGTAGCACGGGCTATGGTGAGCCCGTAAGGTTTGAAAGCGTCAAGCCATTACGACTGTATAGCACTTGGGAAGGGGGTCAGGAGCTCACCTGTGTTGATGATGGGGAAGAATCCCTCTCCTTCGACGTAGGGCGCGGCCAATAGGGCGGCCAGGGACCCAGGCTCGTGCGTGGGCGCCGCGCAGTCTCCCGCCGACGGCGGCGACGTTCTTGTAGAAGGCTGGTGTTCGGATGCTGGATTCTCAACGTTCGTATACGTCACACTTGGCCCACTCGGTCCGTTGGGCGAGGGGCCAGGCTGAGAGGGCCCGTTAGACGAGGGCCCACTCGGGCAAGGCTCAGTAGCGGAGGAACCACTCGGGGAAGGCGTGAGAGACCGACACGGAGTCACGGGGAGATTATCCGTGTCTTCGGGGCCAGAGTCGTGGTCGAGGGAGTCGAGTTGGGTGTTGTCGGGGTTGTCGGGCGTGGCGCAGAAGAACCGGGAGTCGCAGACGACGGTGGTGGCGGAGCTGGCCGTCGTCTCGCAGTCCTCCGCCAGGCTATCCGGATCCAGACCCATCTCGACGGAGTCCATGTCGTGGAGGTGACACAGCGGCGTCGGATTCTGGGCGTCGAGGCGGCCGTTGTGCGTCACCGAAGCCTCCGGGAACGACGAGGCCCTCGGGGATGCGTCCTGAGAGCTCATGGGGTGTGCGGGTTGGGGGGTCGGGTGGTGGCCAGGGGCGCCGTCCGTCTCATCCTGGCCCTCCATGCCGAGGGTAGGACGACCAGCTGGCGGGGAGACATGCCCCGGGGGTCACCCTGGCGGCGTCCCGCCGGCCCCTACCCACCGACGCCCGCGCCCGACGGACCTACATCCCGCCCGCCGCTCGGCGCCTTCCGGCTGTGCGTCCCAGGCCTCCTCCGGACGCCACTCTCCCTCCACGCCGGGATTTGCGTCCTCGGCCGCGACGCTCCTGTTACCACTCGTTCTTCACCTTCAGGTATCTTCCAGTCGTTCTCTACACTTCCAGAACCTTCCAGCCGTCCTCTTAACCTTCGGGTAACTTCCAGTCGTTCTCTTCACCTTCAAGTACTTTCCCGTCGTTCTCTACGCTTCCAGAACCTTCCAGTCGTTCCCTTCACACCGCCAGCTGTCTTATCCCAACCTTCACTAGGGTCATCACAGGTGCTGCTCTTCGACTCCGTCAGATAATTGCTCTTGACGTCAGTTCACGTGTGGCGGCTCCGGTCTCACTCCCGCAACACCTGCTGCAAAGAAAGAAACCCAATTAGAGACATCTGTAATTGCAAATAATCTTAACTACTTGAAAATGATGCTTGTTACTTTACGTTAGACTTTGTATCGACACCGTTACAACTAGCAAGAGCAAAACAACAACAATAATTTAAAAATTTACATGACAGGTTAATGAATCATACACTCCTTCTAGGCACAGTAATTTCTCCGCTAAACATAGAGAAAACATTTTGAATTTGATCCATAAAAATGTGAATATTACACACACACACACACACACACACACACACACACACACACACACACACACACACACACACACACACACACACACACACACACACATACATACATACACATAGACATACACACATATAGACATACACACACACACACACACACACACACAAACACACACACACACACACATACACATACACACACACACACACACACACACACACACACACACACACACACACACACACACACACACACACACACACACACACACACACACACACACACACACACATACACATACACACACACACACACACACACACACACACACACACACACACACACACACACACACCAAAAACAGGCGTAACTCCGATCAGTATAAAGCCAACAACACTGTCTCACTCCAGCACTTGCCAACAAAGCCAGATAAAGCTCCTTTACCCTCTCTGGATTTCTCACTTGGGTTTGTCCTGAGCATCTCAAGACTTCCAAGCATTTTCTTTATTATTTCTTCGCGCAGGTGGGTACAGGAGCATATATGACTTCTGACTCCTCTTAGCAGGCTGAGAGCTTTCCCTTCCCGTAGCTCATGGTAGGCCTTATCTACCAAATGGTCTCAGGAACACGACCCATCAAACTGTTAACAACCAGATACCCAAATACTGCTAGGTAGCCACGACTCGAACCCTGGACCATATCTCATCGCAACGTGGCACAGCGAGTGTGATACCACAACGCCAACAAAAATGCTTGGAAGTTTAGTCTAGACATTCTCAACATACTTCTTGTAGGTGTTGCAACGTATCGAAAGGACCTCTCTCTCTCTCTCTCTCTCTCTCTCTCTCTCTCTCTCTCTCTCTCTCTCTCTCTCTCTCTCTCTCTCTCTCTCTCTCTCTCTCTCTCTCTCTCTCTCTCTCTCTCTCTCTCTCTCTCTCCTCCCTCCGGGATATGTGTCTCGGGAGAGCTTTAGTCAACGGAGTGTTGTGTTGTTCGGGGTAAATATTGATGCTGCTTGAGAGAGCAGGAGAGATAGTGAGGATGGTGGTGGGGTGGGGTGTGATGGTGGTCGAGATTGTGGTGGGCGAGATGCTGGTAGTGGTGGTGGTAATGATAGTGGTATTAGTAGTAGTAGTAGTGGTGGTAATGACAGTGCTAGTAGTGATGATGGCAGTAGTAAAGTTGGTGACAGCAGATTAATTTATTTATTTGAAATCTTGCCACAGTTACATTCCTCCATTATTGCCACTCTCCCAGATTACCGGCTCAAGAGTCGCCAGGGAAGAGCCTCCCAAAATAGATATAGAGAAACGTGGAGCTTTATAGAGAGAGAGAGAGACGCTCTATGACACTTCTCTATAAAGCTCCAAACACAGTGTTGTGCTTCGAGGCCCCCTGACCTATTGCCTTCATGTCTCAGAGACTACGGGGAAGTGGGGCTCCATGTGTTGTACCTGTTGTAAGTGAACTTTTCGCACGTTTGAACTCTTTGTCGAATTGGAGGTGTGGATGGAGGTGGCTCCTACAACTTCTTCCTTCACTGTGTGCCACGTGTTTATCACTCGTTCGAGTACTTCCTTACATTCCTTCGACTCATCCGCGCTTCCAGCTTCCACCTGTGTCCTGTTGTCCTTCTCTCACGTTAAACTGGCTATCCTTGTCTGGGGGTTATTTCGTCGTTATCTTGTATGTTGCGTGGGAGGACCTCTGTTTTGTTGGTGATATCTGTCGTTTGGTTTTTATTTCTTGATTATTATACGTCTTGTAAATTTAGAGGATTTGTTTTATTTTTACCTCTACCCGCTGGGCTCCTCCTAATATGTTGTTCTACCTCTGTCAATTACTTTCTCTAATCCCAGAAACATCTTCCCTCTACCTGCTCCTCTTTCTCTCAGCTTCTTTCAGCTTATCACCCTTTACCTCCTCCGTCTTCCCCCTCCTTCCTTCTCTTCCTCCTTTCCCCCTCCTTCCTCCCCCCCCCCTGCTAATCTTCCTTCTCTCCCGCGGCCTGCTAATCTTTCTATGCTTCTGATAGTGAAGTCTGGAGAGCCAATCAGCAGCGTCGCGCAATTTTATGACCCTAAATTCTAATCTGATGGGATATTATTCTGACTGTCCATTCCACCAACACTTTTCACCCGCGGCATCAGGGAGGGCAACGATAAAGCTGTTTCGGAGGGCAACCTCCCCCCCCCCACCCTGTAATTGGGAGGGCGGAGAAGGGCCAGAAATTGGGGCGAAATTGCGCGTTGAGCGTAAAATTTTAGGGATTTTGTTTGACCTTTTTTTTTTTTAGGGTGTCAATACTCCTTTTTTTTTTTACGAAATTATTCAATGAATCTCTTTAAGGTTGTTTACAAACTGACTTAAAAGGATGAATTCTGACAAGCAGACAGACAGACAGACAGATTAACTCAAAATTGTCGCTGGTGCCATGATGGTTATATGGAATAGTGCCATGATACTGGTGCCACTATGGTTAAGGAATAGTGCCAGTCTACCACCACGGCCATTTCTGTATCTCCAATTATTGTATTGTGACACAATACAATAATTAGCACATTTAGCTTCACCTCTCTCTCTCTCTCTCTCTCTCTCTCTCTCTCTCTCTCTCTCTCTCTCTCTCTCTGAACTTATTGCAAAGTCGTTTGTTAAATGTCTTTCCGATTACTCCAATTTGTAATTACTTCTGCTTACCAGTCTTGCCTTCAGATAGATGCAGAATAAGTGAAATGTGGCGTACTCTAACCGTAGAGTGTATCGTAGCCAAATTAGCGTGTAACAAGTTTGAATTGACAGTTTGGATTGTTTGATTCAAGTTTGGATTGACAGTTGAGAGACGGGACCAAAGAGCCAGAGCTCAACCCCCGCAAGCACAACTAGGTGAGTACACACACACACACAACCGCTGCGAGGTGTACATAATAAAATTCACACAAGTAAAACTTCGCCAAATAAACAAACTTCGCCAAATAAACAAACTTCGCCAAAATATACAAAACTCGCCAAATAAATTAGTCGGAGGCATAAATATTATTATAGTTAGGTACCAAAAAATGCGTCCAATAAATGTTTGCAAAAAACTAATTAAAATGGAGCAGTGAGGCAGAAGCGCCCCCACACTGCTCTATACTGCCGCGTCCCACCAATTAACTGACGAAAATTATTAATTGAAATATTGAATGGGGATTTTTTTTGCGACTACGGGATGATGGGGCGTGTCTGTATGTCGGTCTGTCATTAGGTCGGGCTCGAGGAATGGTTAGATTTGTCCTTGTAAGGAAACTCGGTCAATGTTTAACTTATTCCTAATTTTATATAAGGAAGAGTGACAAAGTGTGTGTGTGTGTGAGAGAGAGAGAGAGAGAGAGAGAGAGAGAGAGAGAGAGAGAGAGAGAGAGAGAGAGAGAGAGAGAGAGAGAGAGAGAGAGAGAGAGAGAGAGACGCAAATACAGCATTAAAAAATTGTATGGGGCCGGGGGAAAGAGTAATTAAAACTGAATGTTGGCTAACAAGTGATGGCAGGCATTTAGCGGGGCCCCCAGCGGTGTTAACCCGGCGTGCTGAACCACCTCTACCCATCACTTCCTGGCCCTTAACGAGGCAAATGATCGAATCACTAGCGATAATTACACAACAAAAAACTGCTCATTTTGTCATAGCAGTCGTCAGCCGGTTATTTGGACCAGGTGGAGGGACTCGTGAATCTCACGAAAGGGACTCGAGAGCTTCACGAACGGACTCGAGAACCTCACGGACGGACTCGAGAACCTCACGAACGGACTCGAGAACTTCACGGATGTCATTAAGTCCGTCGCCACTCCTGCAGCATTGTAGACCCGATAAACCCACAGTTAAGACGGGTGAAAGGGTGAGATCACCTTCATGTTGACCAGACCACACACTAGAAGGGGAAGGGACGACGACGTTTCGGTCCGCCCTGGACCATTCTCAAGTCGATTAATCACCTTCATATTCGTTCTTCGCCGGTGTCCTGAAGCTGGTGAGATGGGGAGGGGGAGGGGGTGATAAGGAGAGGGGGAAGAGAGGTGCTGGCGTGGGAAAGTGTATATAAGGAGCAGTAGAGTATTTAGCGTTACGGAGGGGGAAGGGGTAGGGGGAAGACAGTGCAAGAGAGCAATGTATACTCGAAACGTAAACGAACTTTTCAGGGGTTTTTACTTGATTTTCCCATGCAGTGTTTGGCAGCCGCTGCTGTCAAGCTAGTGTATGCAACGCTTACCATAGCTGGGACCTGTTCAACCGACTAGTCCACAATGCTCGCCACGTGGTTCTTCAGTCATTGCAAAACCAAATTTCATCTCGAGGATAGTGGATAATGTGTCCACTTTAATGACATCCCCCACAGTTCTCTCTAGTTACATCTTACTTTCAAGTACTCGTCAACGTTAATGTGTTCTCGCACAATACCTGATCTATACCTGATCAACCAGGCTGTGACTCATACGTCAGGCTGCGAGCAGCCGCGTCCAACAGCCTGGTTGATCAGTCCGGCAACCAGGAGGCCTGGTCGACGACCGGGCCGCGGGGACGCTAAGCCCCGGAAGCACCTCAAGGTAACCTCAAGGTCGCCAGCAACGGTGACCTAATCTAGCCGAACCTATCTGGTGAGTGAGTAACCTTAAAGAGCTCAAACCCTAGGTAACAGCAAGGTTACCGTTACGTTGTAACAAGGTTGCTGCACCTCGTTGGGGTTAAGGTCGTGGAGGATCACATTTGCTCTTGTGTATACCTTGTGGGTA